ACGCACTCCGAGCCACGGAAGAATTGCGCCGCGTGGCGGTCCTACCGCGGGTCGCTCCGGAAAAGCGGGCTCGAACCGGAAAACCGTCACCGGTTCGTACAGCACGGCTTGTAGGTTGCGCTCATTCGGCAAAATCATACCAGGCTAAACATCATCGTTTCAGACCATAACATATCTCGGCCCACAAGTCTGCTTTGACAAAGGTTCTTCTCCTTGGCCAGGTTTGACCGAAGCTCCTCGAGCTCTCTACCTAAACATTGCAGCAAACATGTTGTCAAGCATCTATTAAGCCTTTGACACATCCCTGGCTTAGCAACCAATGTGTGTTTTGCCGGGTGTCGTTGTAAGTAAGGCAACTTGGCAAAAACGTCTATACTGGTCTGGGGCCGTGTTGCGAAGCTCTTCTCTGAAGCTTTCCTGGAGCTGTTCTGCCTTAGATCCATCCAAATGCAATACGCTGTCCGAACTGAACAACCAGTGGGGAGACCCTGGGGACGGTGGGTGAGAGAACTGCAGCGAGGTCTTCTCACCAAGTCGCGATTTTATGAATCTCCTGCAGCAAGGTCTGCGAGAAGTCGCGCAGCATTTGGTCTTTGGCGCTTTCAACCTTGATCGTCTGCATCCTTAGGCAGTAACGCCGTTGGACTCATTCCACGGCAAGCAAAGGAGTCTGAGCTCCTGAATGAGTATTCTGACTGCTTGATATATGAGTCATGCTGCCAAGGCGCGCAGAGATTGCAATGACGACACGAGAACCGAAGCAGCTGTGAAAATTGAGCCAGGCATCAGGAAAGGTCAAAGACTGTTGCAGACAACTGAAACTATGAAGCCTACCGCCAAATGATAAGTTGCGCGGGCCCCCTACTCTTTCAAGTACTGCTGCCAATGGCCCCCAGAAACCAGTCTTGTGTGTATTAAGACCTGAGGCTTTGTGGGTGTTTGACTTCCCCAGACTACGGTTGCTTCAAACACTGCAACCTGCTTGGATCAAAAAGCAATCAGGTCATAAGAGTCCTATAGCTGTGGGTCATGATTGCCCTAGGTGTCAGTGTCGGTCGTTCGCGGCGCCACTGGTGGACTGGTCGGGCTCCAGGTGTTCAGTCCCTACTGTCGAGCGAGTGCCTGCTGTCGTGCTGTCAAGCAAAGGACATGATTCAGCAAGGTTATTGAGGGGGACCTATCGCTTTTGCAGGTTTCAGCCCAATTCCTGAGATTCACGTCCGCTCGTTACGAAATTGGTCATTTCACGTTTTGGCGGAATGGTCGAACACCTTCATTCGGAAACGTGAACATCAGACCCGGAATGGTGAATTCTTCATGTGCTGGTCATGAAGATATAGTTTAAGAAGATCATTCTGGTCGCCACTAGTATCACTAGTACCTGGAATGGGATGTACCATGATGTAGCGCAACACGATGTCTGCAGGTCATTTTGGGGTGGCTCAACTATCCTTCAAAGCGCAAACAAACACTGGTAAAGCACCACTGCTCACCGAATGTCTTGGGTCTGACTGAACGCGATCGGAGCCGTCTCCTCATACTTCATATTCCTGTCCTTTTCCTCTTCCAGCTTGGTACAGAGGAACTTGCTGTCTTGGAGCTGCAGGTCAGGAGGCGATGAGGAATGTCGAACGGTCCGTACAAAAAGCACGAGATACTTCCAGCATCATCTCTTGATATCAACTTTCCAAACCACACCTGCTTCTCTAGATCCTGGATTTCTTCATCCTTCAGCTTGATCTGGGCCTGAGCCAGAAATGTATGGTGCATTGTGGTGCAAGCGATTCAACTGCGAAAACCGTGCACCTACCGGACCACTAGGCGGCCTAATCATCGCTAGTAGTAACAAGTGCATCGCTAGTAGTAACAAGTGCCTTACTAGTAGTAACAAGAAGCTATTAGAAACAAGTGCCTTACTA